CCCTTCCCGCCCCGGTTCCGAAACCCCCGTTTCCTCTGGCCGCGGCGGCGGCTCATCGCGAAATTATATCGTCACAATGGGGGACTCGACACGGCTACGATAAAAGCTTGAATTATGAATATCGGTTAATTCACGCATATATTGGGGGAGGGAGGGCGATATGGACGCGCGGCGGGCGGATGTTACTTTATGACGCGGTGGCCGCGATTCCGCCGATGGCGAGCGGCGATTTCGCTCGCGAAAACTTGCAATTATCATGGCGCCGCGGTGCCGCGCGACTCCATTCGCGTTCCGTTTTGCGATAACAGCCGAGCCGCGTCCGGTAATACGCGGCGTGTATCGATGTCGAGCGCGGCGGACGAGCGATAATGCCGTACAGAGATAGCGATGTATAGATTCGCGAGCGGCCCGGGCGCGGATCGCTGTAACGAGGAGGACGCGATCGCTCGATTGTCGCGATCGAGTTCGGGCGGAAGCGTTGAACCGACGCGGAGCTTCATTGCGGAGCTCGTCCGCTCGGCTCTCGCGCAAATGCGAAAGGAATCGAGTGAATTTCGGAAGAAGCGCGCACTGTCTCCGCTTACCGCATCGAATATCGATGATAAAAAGGAAGGGAAGAGAGAAAGGGTTGGAGAAAAATTTCAAACGTGAATCGCGCTTTAATTCGACTGCGGAAGAAATTCAAATCAATACTTCAGATTACCTTGGCGCGCCGCTCGTGCGAGTAATTGCTCTCTACTTCGTCGAATTACGCCGGCGTGTGAGAATAATCGCGAAGCGCTCGTCGAGCGACACGATACGTAGTGTGTGTTTTAACTTGGAATTAAATCGGATATGTCGTTTGACGACAAAGGTACAAAAATCATCGGTGCATTAAATGTCGGGTTAAATTACAGATTCGCACGTAGGTGATTCTTACGCTTAGTGATCGAGCAGCTAAAGAGAAGGCGGGATTACTCATACTGAGAAATTCTCCGAACTAAAGATTTGGTTCTCTGAAGCGAAAATGAAAAAGGTTCAGAGAGCCAAAGCTCGATTCTCACAACCAAACATTTGTTTGCCCGTATTCAAATAAGAATTTAATTTAAATCAACTAAATGGGTTTCTCAGTTGTTTGCCCATATTCAAATAAGAATTCAATTTAAATCAACTGAATGGGTTTCTCAGCATGGGTGCAGCGAAGCGTGAGCTTTCAAAGGCACACTCGGTTGTAATATAATTGACTTGCTTGTTTCGATTTTGCCTTGGCGCAGATTAAGTTTCCGAACATTCGAAATCGCGACACGACGCGCGAGTATTAATTAAAGCGCGCAACTGTTTGGCGTAATTCGCCCGATCGGTCTTACGCCGCTTTTGAGATAAGCGGTTCAACACGGTTAATTGAACCGCGCTTGTTACAGTGACTATGCGAAAGCTCGGCTGACGATCAAATTACTGAAGACGCGGTGAATATGTGCAATTCTTGATGTCTGGTATATCTTACCTCGTTTTAATAGCTCTCTATTGCCTGTGCAGTTTAATCGTCTAGATGCAATTACTTGCATCTTAGAGTTAGTTAGAGTAACGCAGTAAGTAAGTGTACACATTGCCTATAATTCTGTGTGAAAGATACGGGGGATGTTGGCGTCTATTTTAGAATGCATCGAATGCAGAAAATGATGGCATGTGCAAAGCTCAACCTGTAAGAGAGATGTTTTTGTGTGCGATTTATATGAAATACTCACATGCCACATATCCATGCGAACCCATGCAAATTGGTGCGTGTAATTCCGTGTGCGGGATGGCAAGAGTGGGGCATTTTGAATTACGTTCCTTTTTATTAACTTATTTATCATTATTAATAGGAAATTAATAGTATCCTTTGTTATATAAAAAGGAGTTATTTGAATTTTGTTTAATTATAAAGAATTGTAAGATTTTGTGTTTATTTTGATTCTTGTTCTAGCTTGATAAAGAGTTTAACTAAATAAATACATTACGATTTGAGATTCGAGCCTTTGTTTATAATTGAAGGTAGAATATTAAAGTGCGTACACTTATTACTACTGACTTTATATGTAACTTAATGAGACGCGATGATGTCATGATACTGGTTACCGGGCCACCCTCACGTGGTGTTCTACGCGTTAATTACGTGGGTGGCGTGTCGAGCTGCAAAAGGGACGAAATGGAAGCTACGTACTTTTTCAGACAAAGTTCCGCAAAAAACACGTCCTATGTGTAGGTTAATCGAATTAAGTCGAAATGCAGCTTTTTAATTTTTGCGGAACACCGCGCTCGCTAGCCGTCTTAACGACAGCTCTCCAAGAAGGTAGTCTCGTTTACATGAACCCCGGTTAGTCGGTTTTTAATTAGTCAGTGCCTCGTGCACTACGTACACAGTGCGAAAGAAAAAAAAAAGAGAGGAAGAAAAAGAAAGGAGGAGCTCATCGGCGAAACATCGGATTACGTGGCTCCAATAAGATTCCCGATAGCTCCCGTCCACGGCATCGCGTGATTTCACTAATGCGCCGGTCGAAAATGCCGGCGCGAGAATTTATTTGTGTCGTTGAAGTTTAATCGAAGAGGACTCCGCAATCGGGAAATTTCAAGAGAGCGAAGGCGCAAATGGACAGCAAATGAGGGTTGAAACGCATAAGCAATTATGCGCGTATTACACCGACATCACCGATAGGAAAACAAACAACGCGTTTGAACTCGATTTTACGCGTTCGTTCTCTTATTTTATGCAAAAAATATGCGCAGTTTAGCACAATAAGTAACGCATTTTTATTAGCCGATTTCAAATTCGCAAAACAAGCTGCGATAGATAGAAAGTGCGCAGTTTCCGGGGCAATCTGTATATTCGAAAGCGAAATGGCAACGTTATCCTTTTTCTTTTTCTGTCTTTCTTTTTTTTTTCTTCCTTTTTTTTATTAAATTTCACAACGCATCCGGCATTCGATGGAAAAATTTGTTTTTCAGTTGATACTCAGAAGATAAATCTCCCTGTTGGATATCGAATACGTTCACGGAAACTCATTCGGGAAAAAAAAAAGATATGTCGTTTTCATCCTGTTTTCGAGTGTACGACGCATTAAACGCGCGTATCGCGTACATTGACTTTTTACGAAAGTACACGGAAAAAATGTGTCAATTTGGGATTCATGTTCTCATGTATATGCAAGAATATATGGAATATATAACTTATTTGGAATTTTCCGAAGAATGAACCGTTCTGAGCTCCATTTTCTCGATATATCTCTTTATTTCTTTCATCCCCCATCCCAAACATTTATCAAGCGCGACTTTCGCGTACGTGCAAGTTATTCCTCGAAACAACGCCCCAATCGATTCGCCATTACACGGGAAGGTTCGATATCGCCGAGTAACCGGGAGTGATCCTTCCGTTTCTCCTTTCCACCTGCCGAGAGATGTAGATTTCGCGTTAACCTAGAAACTCGCACGCGGGGTCGGGCGCTGCGAGGGTGGGCGTGAGCTTCTTATAAGTCGATGGGCTTCCTGAGAACTCATCTGAAACTCGGATTAGGCGGCGGCATGAAAAAAGAAAGGACCAGAGGGGATGTGCGAGGAAGATGGTGGAGAGGAAAGCAGTTTGCGGTATGAAGCACGAAGGTTATGGTCAGCACGCGAAAGAGAGAGAGAGAGGGGGGAGGGGGGGAGGCGTGAGACTATGGGATGATGAACCCGGGAAGGTCGAGAGGGAGGTTGTAACCGTCGGGTGAAGATTCGCAGGGGAGATAAAGCCTCCATTATCGACAGTCTTCCGAAGCGTTTTATGAGCCCGAAGCGTTAATAATTATGAAAACGGCCCGAACTCGCAGCGGCGCTTGACGACGCTCGTAATAAGCGGCGGAGACATTGTCGTTTTATTGTGGGAACCCCGACGATATTACGGCGACTTCCAACGTAGCGCCGTTCTGCGCTATTCCGAACGAATTTCGGTGCCAATCTCGCGGCGACGCGGGATTATCGGGTATGACGCGCGCGCGCGCGCGCGATTATTTGACGATCCGCGGGATCGTTTTCAGCCTCCAAGTTGCGAGATTTTCATATTCCCGCTGTATATCCTAGAATTTTACGGGGAGCTAAGCCGTTAATTCGCCATATTCTCCTTTTTTCTCACCGATATCTCTGCATTAGATCTTGTGTGAAAAAATCTATCTTTCACTTTCGTGCAATTCAGACTCAGAAAGTTGACGACACGGATGTTAAAACTGTACTTTCTGGACGCGTTGTACTTCGATCCCGGTCTCTGTACTCACCTTAATACTGTCATCTGGTGAAAACGTAGCTCATCGTCAAGTGAACCAGCCAAAGATTAAGGAACGCTCTTGAAACTCCGTTGCCGTCGTGCACGGCGGCTGGCAGTTCACCTGGAATTACATCGGGATTATTGCATCTTTCGGCCGAAGACTTATTGTTCAATTTATCAAACTAGAGACTAAACGAGTGAGCAATCCGCCAGTGACAGGCGCGATAATCGAGCGGTCGCCAAGAGAAACTAATTAAGTTGTAATGTTCTCGCACATTTTTATCTCTCTTTATCTGTCAACTTTGATTTCATTACGGTTTGATAATTTCCGAGTACATTTGTCGCGAGGAATTAGTATAACTATTCTGTCATATAGCGTATATGTTATATATATTATAGCTATGAAACAAATCCATTTGTCGACAGTGGATGATAATAATTATATAATCTATTAATTAATCTCAGTAATTTATTAATTAATCTTCACGCTTAATTTCATGTAAATTTCGCATAATTATATCGTTAATGTCAACCGAGAGTTGACACCTGTGGAGTACCAAACTTCTCGTAGCTACTCAGGTTATGAAGAACGAAAGATTAGTTTTCAAGCATGAGACGACGCTTATCGTCTCTCTCAAGACGACCTGTTTTCGAGCTTGTTTTCGATCAGTCGCTTCTTCTCTTTGATTTTCGGATCGTTGCTACCGCGGCAGCGATTAACGTCAATGCGAGAGATTCCCGATCGCAGATCGGTCCCGAGACGATTTGCGAGTCGCGGCATTAAATAGTCAATTTTCGATTGAGCGAGCATCTATACAAAACCGACGCCGCCGAATGAGCGCGCGCGCTCTCTCAACCATCGTCTCTCCCGTCAACAAGAACACATTTGTCATTTCATTAATGGTTGCGTTCCGTCTATAGGTTTTCCGTCAGGCGCAGGCCGCCGCCGGGTTGGCGTATTTTCGTGGCCTCCGTTTAATCGCTCTTCGACCGAGTTACGTTTCCCAGATAATAGTTTGGGCGTCCGAGTTTTCGTGAAATTAGGCGGCTCTTATTAATAGCTCTTACAGCACTCTTCGTAATTTCGAGCCCGTTCATTTACATGCGGCCGTGCTCGCGGTTGGCACCGAGATGAATTTCAAATACCTGCGTAAGCCGGACAATATGTGTATTTGCGTCGATGCTCCTCGTGTGTCAAATTGTCCGCGTCTCTTTTCATTTGGTAACTTTCGTCTGATAATTTAATTAAAGGTGGGTCGCTTTAATCAACTGATTGTGAGAATTCATCGACAGACCCCCGTGCAGCGCTAGATTGGCCGATTCTTCGACGTTGCGAATTTTTGATAATTAGACAGCGACTTACATATGTAAATGTGTGTATACGTGATTTGACTCGCGAGTGTCTTCGCTCTGTATTATGCACAATCTCTCTTTTTACAAATATTAGATTAATTTATTGAAGGTTAGATTAATTTAATAATAGCCTAAGGAGGATCATCCTCTTAAGTACTCTTGCCTGCGGCACTCAAACTCATTATCGAAGGATACGCGATTTTAATTCTTCATTAATCTTAAAATCTCGCATTTAAGGACTGAAAATTGATCCGAATTCAATTCAGTCCTTCGGTTATTTTCTGCGACATTTAACGATACGTTGGCTTCTTATTATCAGTTACTAAGTTTTCGATTGAGCGAGCACCTATATAGAGAGATAGAAATTCTACTCAAATTAATTAAACTCGGATACTTGATAGATCGTGTTCTCAATTGTGTTCCCATTGCACGTTTCATTGTGCTCCGGGAAAAGGTGTCGGCTGCCGCTATTCCGACATTAAAAATAAATACATTGTTAAATCTTCTTCCATTTGCTTCGTTTGCTTAATGACGAAACTTGATTCGACGATTCCGCCTGCTAAATTGCTTCTTTATTTTGACAGTAGTATTTCACGAATGCGCCTCCTTTCTCCTCTTTCTTCCTTCTCATTTTCTTTCTCTCCCCCCTCCCCCTCTCTCTCTTTCTCTCTCTCCTCATCTCTTATACTTCTCCATCGTGTCGGTATTATTCTGCCGCCCTGCCGCGCTTCGCCTCCCCCAATTAAAAAAGTTTTCGCTTAATCGGGTAAAATATTTTTATGAGCTTCCGGCTCTCCGGACGAAACGAAAACTCTTGATTTTTCATTAGTCCCTTAATGCGCATATTTCTCCATTATTATTCGCATCAACTCCGCTCTCGCGCCGATGGAATGCGATATTATCGATTCGTATATTAAAACGCGACGAACTATTAAAAAAAAATAGGCCGCCTGCAGCTATTTTCTATCGCCGTGCGATGGTTTTGCGAGCCGAACAAACGTAAATCCTGACAGAATCGTTAATCCCCGAACGCGTACGCGCCGCCGAGTTTGTTGAATTCGCATGCTCTTTTTCTTCGTTTAATTTTACATTTCTCAATCAAAAATATTGATGAAATTTTCATGAATTCATTTACATCCCGTCGAAAATTTGATCAGATTTATCATCTGCGACTACATCGTGATTACTTTTTGCCCGTCATTTCGATGATTCGCGTATTGAGGAAACTACATCAGTAGTTTGTACGTGCCCTCTGTCCTCTTTTCTTCTTCAGGAAACTTTTTTAATAAAATTACACAGAGCTGAAACGTTTGAAGTCGCGAGGGGAGAAATTATCTAGGGTAAGTTTCGACTGTTGTGAGATTTTTAATTTTTCCGCGTCGAAGATTCCACGGAGAATACACCGATAAATAAACTTGTATCCCCCTCCCCCCCCCCCTTTTTTTGTTNTTTTTTTGTTTTACTTTTCGCTACCAAGTCTTTGGGAGCTTATTCGCGGTTATCGATCACTCGAATCGTCCCGGGCATCGGCGTAACGTCCTTCCTTCCCGCTTGTCGTCGGAACGCCGATAGAAATCGCGGTCCTGGCCGTGTTCCAGGATCACCCAGGAATTTGTCAATTCGTCCCACTCGATCACCACCCCGCCGCCCACTGACTTACAGCTTCTTCGCTTCTATCCTGCCCCTCTCTTCGTCCCCGTCTCTACTTCCACTCCTCCAACTCTCGAGTACCACTGCCCCTTCGTCCATCCATACTCGCTCCTTCGATTCTTCACCGAGTTTCCGAGTTCTTTCTCTCCGCGCCTCCTCTCCCGCCCGTATCCTTTCAACTCCTCCACCGACGCTCCTTTTTCATTTTTGCCGCTGTTCTCTCTTCCTTTCGCGCCCCACGGATCGTATTGTCTCTCCGTTTTCCCTTCATCACTGATCTCACTTCACGCGTCTACCATAACTCCTCTCCCTCGTTTTTCTCCTCACACTTTCCATCCTCCTCCTTCACGGCGACCGGCCCGCCGCAGATTCTCCTTCCGGTCGACTCGCAAAAAATCACGGAGATCCTGAGATCTTCTTTACCCGTCTTAATCCAGGCATTCGTCCCGGCGACCACCCCGAGAGGGAGAGCCCGACATTTTTCAATGAAATACCACGGGAGCGCCGATAAAACTCGCGTCGGGCGGGCGTCGGCCTTGTTGAGAACGTCCTTCGACGGTTTAATGATTGCCAGGGAACTCTCTTGATCACGTGAAAGGTCTCTCCCCTGTCCTCACCGCGTCCTCTCCTTATCCTATCCTTACTTCGGCCGAGGGTTTTTTAATCTTACCGTGGGAAAAGAGGCCGCGATGAACGAACGGACGAACGGCCGGGCGGCTTTTAACGGGACAGCCGCGACGTGGTTTCATCTTTTCAACGTAATATTCAGATAAAGTATTTTAAAGGGAAAATTCGAGCCCCTTCGGTCGCCAGATGTATCTCGATGTTTTTACGACGGGCATAAAAAAACTGAGGACACACAAGCCGTATTGCTCGGCTGTGAATTGCGGTGAGAAAAGTTTCGAAAGTCTCGTTGTGCTCGGTTCAAAGTGAAAGAAAAATGTGTGCATCACTCTAAGTGCAATGATAGTTGGACGGAAAGACCGAGTATCTTGCATATTTATTTACCGCAAAAAACGAATAGATACCGTGAAGAATATTTCACGTTATTAATCTAGTTGTCTGTGTGTAAAAGGAAACCATTTCTATCTTTCTTTTTTAGTTATTGTTCGTCGGAAGGATTGTCTTCCTACAATCGTGGTAATACAGCGATATCTCTCACAGCAGGGACAAAGCAAGCCCCGTATGGCGACAATGCCAAATACGTTGTAATAGACCTCGGCTGAAGGTCGCGGTCGACGATCTGTTCGCGGTTGCTCGGGTCCGTTCCTCATTGCTACTTCGATTCATGCCCGTTGGATACATTTCCTGTATGCGACGCGGCAGGGCGTTCGCCAATCCCCGGGACGGAAGGGGCTGGAACTTCCTATTGGCCACTTCCTATCCCGCTAGTTCAGCGTTAGAAATTCCAATTCCCGGAGCTTGTCCCTCGGCTGACCACAAGTCGAGACCTTAGATTTAATCTTTCGATTTGGAAACGAAGGGTCTGACTACAAGAGCCGGGCGCTTTGTCTAATGTTATAGAATAGCCGAGAATTATCTAGAACGTATCATAATGTTTTCAGATAACTTACTTCACACACATGACATTTCCCGTAATTACACTGAGAAAAACAATACTTAAAGATTTATTTATAAGATATAAAGTTTATTTCTGTGAAATAACTTTTTAAGTACTTCTTTTTTCTCAATGCAAAGTAATGTTAGTTTTTTTCTGCAGTAATATTGACGGAGGAACATCGTTAATCATAAAAAAGATTTCTGGACAACTACGTTCTCATTTTCACATTTTTATTTCAAAAGCATGTTCCATTTCTTTCAGTATGCGTGCAGATATTATTTAAATTAACCAAACCTTACCAATATAATCATATGTACAATAGATCGCTGAAATTTCTGTCTTTATATCGACGCCGATGTTCAAAATCGCGGGAATTTAGCTAGGGAAATTAGCTATCCTTCCATATTTTTCCTCCAGAAAACAGACCGATCTCAAGCATTTTGTCGCGATGCGCTCGCGAAATTTATTTTGATGCATAATTTACGAGGTGAAACATGGCCGCGGCGATGACACATAGAGTGCTTAATGTCAACTTGTGGTCATATACTTGGTGAAGA